TATTCAAATATAATAATATCACTAGAAGACGTTATGATGAAATCATACCATTTCTATTCAATGATGAAATCATACCATTTCTATTCAAATATAATAATATCACTAGAAGACGTTATGATGAAATCATACCATTTCTATTCAATGATGAAATCATACCATTTCTATTCAATGATGAAATCATACCATTTCTATTCAAATATAATAATATCACTAGAAGACGTTATGATGAAATCATACCATTTCTATTCAATGATGAAATCATACCATTTCTATTCAAATATTATATCACTAGAAGACGTTATGATGAAATCATACCATTTCTATTCAAATATAATAATATCACTAGAAGACGTTATGATGAAATCATACCATTTCTATTCAAATATAATAATATCACTAGAAGACGTTATGATGAAATCATACCATTTCTATTCAAATATAATAATATCACTAGAAGACGTTATGATGAAATCATACCATTTCTATTCAATGATGAAATCATACCATTTTTATTCAAATATAATAATATCATTAGAAGACGTTATGATGAAATCATACCATTTCTATTCAATGATGAAATCATACCATTTCTATTCAAATATAATAATATTACTAGAAGACGTTATGATGAAATCATACCATTTCTATTCAAATATAATAATATCACTAGAAGACGTTATGATGAAATCATACCATTTCTATTCAATGATGAAATCATACCATTTCTATTCAATGATGAAATCATACCATTTCTATTCAAATATACTAATATCACTAGAAGACGTTATGATGAAATCATACCATTTCTATTCAATGATGATATCATACCATTTCTATTCAATGATGAAATCATACCATTTCTATTCAAATATAATAATATCACTAGAAGACGTTATGATGAAATCATACCATTTCTATTCAAATATAATAATATCACTAGAAGACGTTATGATGAAATCATACCATTTCTATTCAAATATAATAATATCACTAGAAGACGTTATGATGAAATCATACCATTTCTATTCAATGATGAAATCATACCATTTCTATTCAAATATACTAATATCACTAGAAGACGTTATGATGAAATCATACCATTTTTATTCAAATATAATAATATCACTAGAAGACGTTATGATGAAATCATACCATTTCTATTCAAATATAATAATATCACTAGAAGACGTTATGATGAAATCATACCATTTCTATTCAATGATGAAATCATACCATTTCTATTCAAATATAATAATATCACTAGAAGACGTTATGATGAAATCATACCATTTCTATTCAATGATGAAATCATACCATTTCTATTTCAAATATACTAATATCACTAGAAGACGTTATGATGAAATCATACCATTTCTATTCAAATATAATAATATCACTAGAAGACGTTATGATGAAATCATACCATTTCTATTCAAATATAATAATATCACTAGAAGACGTTATGATGAAATCATACCATTTCTATTCAAATATAATAATATCACTAAAAGACGTTATGATGAAATCATACCATTTCTATTCAAATATAATAATATCACTAGAAGACGTTATGATGAAATCATACCATTTCTATTCAAATATAATAATATCACTAGAAGACGTTATGATGAAATCATACCATTTCTATTCAAATATAATAATATCACTAGAAGACGTTATGATGATCTTCAAATATAATAATATCACTAGAAGACGTTATGATGAAATCATACCATTTTTATTCAAATATAATAATGTCATTAGAAGACGTTATGATGAAATCATACCATTTCTATTCAAATATAATAATATCACTAGAAGTCGTTATGATGAAATCATACCATTTCTATTCAATGATGAAATCATACCATTTCTATTCAAATATACTAATATCACTAGAAGACGTTATGATGAAATCATACCATTTCTATTCAAATATAATAATATCACTAGAAGACGTTATGATGAAATCATACCATTTCTATTCAAATATAATAATATCACTAGAAGACGTTATGATGAAATCATACCATTTCTATTCAAATATAATAATATCACTAGAAGACGTTATATGAAATCATACCATTTCTATTCAATATAATAATATGACTAGAAGACGTTATGATGAAATCATACCATTTCTATTCAATGATGAAATCATACCATTTCTATTCAAATATACTAATATCACTAGAAGACGTTATGATGAAATCATACCATTTCTATTCAATGATGAAATCATACCATTTCTATTCAATGATGAAATCATACCATTTCTATTCAAATATACTAATATCACTAGAAGACGTTATGATGAAATCATACCATTTCTATTCAATGATGAAATCATACCATTTCTATTCAATGATGAAATCATACCATTTCTATTCAAATATACTAATATCACTAGAAGACGTTATGATGAAATCATACCATTTCTATTCAAATATAATAATATCACTAGAAGACGTTATGATGAAATCATACCATTTCTATTCAAATATAATAATATCACTAGAAGACGTTATGATGAAATCATACCATTTCTATTCAATGATGAAATCATACCATTTCTATTCAATGATGAAATCATACCATTTCTATTCAAATATAATAATATCACTAGAAGACGTTATGATGAAATCATACCATTTCTATTCAAATATAATAATATCACTAGAAGACGTTATGATGAAATCATGTGTTTTGCACAGTTAGGAATTGGTCGTCGTTATTCAGATTGCGGACTTTTTGAGAGACATTTTTAAAGACGAGAAAGTCGTTGTTTTCAAGGTGGTACTAATATTTCGGATTGTGCTATTTGAAGTAAGGTTAATTACTTTTGCTACTGATTCCCTGTTCTTTGCTTCGTGGTTGGAACAAAACTACATAACGATCTTCGAATTTTCTAATTCGAGAATATTTTTATCAGAAATTTAAACGACAGAAAAATCTATGGAAAAATTATGTACTTGTCGCGAATTATAATTTCGCGAAAACTTCTAACTAATTTCATAGCATCATAAATCATCTCTTCTTTTTAAATTGTAAACAATCCTACGGTATTCACACATGTAATTTTAGTCTCCTTTTTGTAAACACATCCAATTCTTCACACATATGATTTTTATGTAAAATTGAAATTAGCTTTCATTTTTATCTTTTCTTTGTAAACACCTCGAATTCTTCACATAATTGCTCCGATAACACGCCCAATCCTCACTCATATAAATTCAATTCTAATAAACAAAACCATTAATTATCATTGTTGTCGACTACTCTCTGTTAACCAATATCAATTCCTCCGATCTTCTTCTTTAATATAAATTTCTTCTCTTTTATTTTACTGCTCTGTTTATTAATTCTACGTTTGCGAAAAATAAAGGCTTATTAATCCTTCTACTGTATTGCAAACAATTCGAATATCAACCAACAGACAACCTTTCACGACAGTACTTAGAAGCATCTGCGACAGATTTTATTTTTGACACCTAGACCAAGGAAATTTCAATGTGTGGAACATTTTTTTTGTTTTCTAGAAAATTAATTTTGAAAGGCTTCCTTCTTTTTTCGGCATCTTATGTTGCTGGAAATCAGGTGATTCAACTGTAACTGAATTAGTGGTTTTTGATGACAATGTCAAAGATGATGGACAAATTGTACCTTACAGTTGAATGAGATAAGGCAATATTTATTTAATTTCTACTTCTAAAACAACTGATTACTTGAGTAGCGTCGGAAAACCGAAAAAATATTTATTACACAGTGTTTAGAATAATGCTAATGATTCACCACTATAAACCGAATCATTTTTTGAAACAGTGAGTTCTTTATCTAAAACTCTAAAAAAAAATTAAATAGTAAATGTGCATCTGTCTTCATTGTAAATGTTAATCTGCAAAACTTCCTATATCATTAAAAATTTTCTAATTAGTTAATAAAAAATATATTTCTTTGCTGTTTGAGTTATTCGACTGTATATTGTATCAATTCACATTTATAAAGAAAAATCACATCTGGGTCGATCGCGCTCGAGATAGGAAGCAAAAGGTTCAGTTTAAGTTGCACAAACTTAAAATAAGTTAAGTGGACTGAACAAATCTAAATTATCTACTCTTCTAATCTAAAACTTTTTCAAATTCATGACATAGTAGTTGATACAATCATATCAAACACGACACGATATGGCATGATATCAAGTCACAATTCACTTCCGATTAAAATATTTATATTGCTATTTCCGAAAACTGCTCCTGAAAATATTCTTATAGAATAAACACTCTGTAAACTCTCTGTAAACATATGAACTTTTCAGAAATATCTCTGTAAACATATGAACTTTTCAGAAATAGGACAGATACTGAGAGGCAGAAATGAGATCGAATCACAAAACTAGCAAAATGATTAATAAATGTAACAAATGTAGAGAGAATAAATAATAGCGATCTGAAATCTGGTTCAATCATTTTGTAATAATCGTTGAAAGACAGATAGATAGTAAAGCACTGCATTTGGTAAATGCTGTAGCAATGATTTAATATGAAAAACTTGAAACTGACGGTGGGTTCGTCATTTTTCTAAACAAAAAATTGATTTTGTTGAATAATGCTTCCAATACTGAAAAAGCAGGATTTTGGAAAGATTTAAGGGAAAAATCAGTCACATGAAAGTTGAATTGCTTTTTTACCGATGCTTTTGACCGTAAACATTCTTTAACCGAAAAAAATTATCATTTCTGTTTAAATGTTATTAGAATTTGTAAGCTGTGAAAATAATGAGGTATGAAATTAAACAAAAGATAAATACTAACCAATATTTTGACTCCTTCCATTTCTTGATGGCAAGAAAATCAAGTTTGTCAAACTTATTTATTTTGATAGTTTGCAAACAATTAAATTCCATTAATTTATATTATCTGGAACAAGTCATCACTATTTATTGCATTGAAGTTCGTATTTCAGAACGGTTGCTCAGAAAGAAAATTCGAATTAAGGAAAGAGATGAGAACGATAAACGTACGATGTAACTGGAACGATCTTCATGAGGTGTGTAGAGATCAACTGTTAATGGAAAAAAAACTATGTGCTTCAGCTAGCTCACTTAAGCAAATAAACTTGACAAAGTACAGGTAGTACAGAGGAAACTGAAATTTGATCATTTCCCTTCTTTCTTATTCATATAGCTTAAATGCGTTATGATGAAGTAATGCTTCTTCTCATTTGTTTTCTCAGAAATAGTACTGTTGATAAAGATATGAATATTGTTATTATTACAATTAATAAGTACCAAATAAGTGGATTATAAGTAACCGCAAATTGCTCCTCTAGTCTCATCGTTTTATTGTTTGAAAGTGATTTAAATTTGGTATTGTAGTACTTAGATGTAGAAAGATCCATCTAGATAAGTCTAGATAAGTTAAAAAAATTAAGCGAAGGGATACAGATTAGAAGACGACTATCTGCTTCACTTCAAAAATGTGCCAAGCGATTACATTGGAAGACCCTATCGTTTGTCATAACTCACTATAACGATTCTCTTCACTTTTCCATTCAAGTTACATTACCTGCTACACTGATATCTGGGAAAAAGCAAAACCCGCCAGCACCATCACCAATTCAAGAAGAGCAAAAACAGGTAACATCATTACTAGTAATAAAAGGATTTTGAAGGAATAGTACATTACCTTTTGAAGAATAGTACATTATCTTTTGAAGGAATAGTACATTACCATCATTAGCTAAAACACAAGGATCTCTTAAGGGCAATTAAACAATTGAAGCTGAAAACAATTCTTCAGAAGTTCATCAAAGCAGGCAGCGCTGCTTGATGCAAGAGAAGAAGTCTTAGACTTAGCATCAATACGGAAACCTGAGTAGCAATCACAGATGAATCCGGAACAGCGGCAATGATTGAATGAAAACTTTCACAACAATTATATTTTCAGCCAGTCAGAGCATACATGCATTGAATTTTTCATTATTTTCAATTTACTGATGATCCTTTTTCAGCATTATAAAACATAGCTATCATTAGGGGAGTGAAAATATTAAAATCCAATGATTTCTTAGGTTCAAGAAGAAAAACGGACATCAAATATTTCAAAAGAACAGCGAAAGGACGCCGGCATGCAGGTGTTTTCAACTTTAATTTACAAGTCAAAAGATTTCTAAAATAATTTGTTATTCAGTCATAGAAGATAAAAAATGATATTAGTCATAAATAGCACCATTTAAACAGTTCATCACTGTATGGTGCAAGAAGTTCAGGAAGGAAATCTCGTCTAGTAGAAATTCACAGTATTATCGTGAAACTGCTCTGTTTAACTCTCTGCCTTTAGCCGAATGTATGACTTCAATGAAGCAGCATATATCCTTGATATAAAACTATGTTTAAAAATACTTTTAGACGGATTGGAACTTTAATTATAATATTCGTCTCACTACTTAGTTACAGATCGACCTGGAAGTTGGAGCAGAACTGCAGCAATTAAGTGGATTCACTACTGTGCTTTTCGGACCACAACCGCCTACGGATGGAGCACAATCAATAAAATGCGTACAAGTTGGGGACGGTAAAATTCAACATTGAAATGAGATAAGGAAAACTTGAGGAAATGCGTTTTTAATATTTTTTTTACATTTTCGAAAAATTTTTATCAACCAAGAATTGGTAATCGACCAACCGATAAGCAAAAAAATAATAATTTCAACCCTAATTCCACTACTCCAATACTCACAAATTTCATTACTATAATATTTTCCAACAAGTGTTTAACAGACATGCGGTTTTATATATGAATGTAATATATATTATATGTATTAAATGCTTCTGTGCAAAGTAACTTTTACACAACTTATAAGGGCAGATATAAAGATGGAATACGAAATTTTACATCATCATTCTGATATAGTTTTCAAAGATACTTTCCAAGAAATAACACAGAGCAATTTGAATGCGGTTCAACTGGGAAAAAAACTGAACACATGTGAATCTGAAAACGAATCTATTATATTAGAAGAGAAATAGTATGAACTTCTAGTGATATTATTATATTTGAATAGAAGTGGTATGATTTCATCATAACGTCTTCTAGTGATATTATTATATTTGAATAGAAGTGGTATGATTTCATCATAACGTCTTCTAGTGATATTATTATATTTGAATAGAAATGGTATGATTTCATCATAACGTCTTCTAGTGATATTATTATATTTGAATAGAAATGGTATGATTTCATCATAACGTCTTCTAGTGATATTATTATATTTGAATAGAAATGGTATGATTTCATCACAACGTCTTCTAGTGATATTATTATCATTTGAATAGAAATGGTATGATTTCATCATTGAAATAGAAATGGTATGATTTCATCATAACGTCTTCTAGTGTTATTATTATATTTGAATAGAAATGGTATGATTTCATCATAACGTCTTCTAGTGATATTATTATATTTGAATAGAAATGGTATGATTTCATCATAACGTCTTCTAGTGATATTATTATATTTGAATAGAAATGGTATGATTTCATCATAACGTCTTCTAGTGATATTATTATATTTGAATAGAAATGGTATGATTTCATCATAACGTCTTCTAGTGATATTATTATATTTGAATAGAAATGGTATGATTTCATCATAACGTCTTCTAGTGTTATTATTATATTTGAATAGAAATGGTATGATTTCATCATAACGTCTTCTAGTGATATTATTATATTTGAATAGAAATGGTATGATTTCATCATAACGTCTTCTAGTGATATTATTATATTTGAATAGAAATGGTATGATTTCATCATAACGTCTTCTAGTGTTATTATTATATTTGAATAGAAATGGTATGATTTCATCATAACGTCTCTTGATATTATTATATTTGAATAGAAATGGTATGATTTCATCATAACGTCTTCTAGTGATATTATTATATTTGAATAGAAATGGTATGATTTCATCATAACGTCTTCTAGTGTTATTATTATATTTGAATAGAAATGGTATGATTTCATCATAACGTCTTCTAGTGATATTATTATATTTGAATAGAAATGGTATGATTTCATCATAACGTCTTCTAGTGATATTATTATATTTGAATAGAAATGGTATGATTTCATCATAACGTCCTCTAGTGATATTATTATATTTGAATAGAAATGGAATGATTTCATCATAACGTCTTCTAGTGATATTATTATATTTGAATAGAAATGGTATGATTTCATCATAACGTCTTCTAGTGATATTATTATATTTGAATAGAAATGGTATGATTTCATCATAACGTCTTCTAGTGATATTATTATATTTGAATAGAAATGGTATGATTTCATCATAACGTCTTCTAGTGATATTATTATATTTGAATAGAAATGGTATGATTTCATCATAACGTCTTCTAGTGATATTATTATATTTGAATAGAAATGGTATGATTTCATCATAACGTCTTCTAGTGATATTATTATATTTGAATAGAAATGGTATGATTTCATCATAACGTCTTCTAGTGTTATTATTATATTTGAATAGAAATGGTATGATTTCATCATAACGTCTTCTAGTGATATTATTATATTTGAATAGAAATGGTATGATTTCATCATAACGTCTTCTAGTGATATTATTATATTTGAATAGAAATGGTATGATTTCATCATAACGTCCTCTAGTGATATTATTATATTTGAATAGAAATGGTATGATTTCATCATAACGTCTTCTAGTGATATTATTATATTTGAATAGAAATGGTATGATTTCATCATTGAATAGAAATGGTATGATTTCATCATAACGTCTTCTAGTGAAATTATTATATTTGAATAGAAATGGTATGATTTCATCATAACGTCTTCTAGTGATATTATTATATTTGAATAGAAATGGTATGATTTCATCATAACGTCTTCTAGTGATATTATTATATTTGAATAGAAATGGTATGATTTCATCATAACGTCCTCTAGTGATATTATCATATTTGAATAGAAATGGTATGATTTCATCATAACGTCTTCTAGTGAAATTATTATATTTGAATAGAAATGGTATGATTTCATCATAACGTCTTCTAGTGATATTATTATATTTGAATAGAAATGGTATGATTTCATCATAACGTCTTCTAGTGATATTATTATATTTGAATAGAAATGGTATGATTTCATCATAACGTCTTCTAGTGATATTATTATATTTGAATAGAAATGGTATGATTTCATCATAACGTCTTCTAGTGATATTATTATATTTGAATAGAAATGGTATGATTTCATCATAACGTCTTCTAGTGATATTATTATATTTGAATAGAAATGGTATGATTTCATCATAACGTCTTCTAGTGATATTATTATATTTGAATAGAAATGGTATGATTTCATCATAACGTCTTATAGTGATATTATTATATTTGAATAGAAATGGTATGATTTCATCATTACGTCTTCTAGTGATATTATTATATTTGAATAGAAATGGTATGATTTCATCATAACGTCTTCTAGTGATATTATTATGAATAGAAATGGTATGATTTCATCATAACGTCCTCTAGTGATATTATTATATTTGAATAGAAATGGTATGATTTCATCATAACGTCTTCTAGTGATATTATTATATTTGAATAGAAATGGTATGATTTCATCATAACGTCTTCTAGTGATATTATTATATTTGAATAGAAATGGTATGATTTCATCATTGAATAGAAATGGTATGATTTCATCATAACGTCTTCTAGTGATATTATTATATTTGAATAGAAATGGTATGATTTCATCATAACGTCCTCTAGTGATATTATTATATTTGAATAGAAATGGTATGATTTCATCATAACGCCTTCTAGTGATATTATTATACTTGAATAGAAATGGTATGATTTCATCATTGAATAGAAATGGTATGATTTCATCATAACGTCTTCTAGTGATATTATTATATTTGAATAGAAATGGTATGATTTCATCATTGAATAGAAATGGTATGATTTCATCATAACGTCTTCTAGTGATATTATTATATTTGAATAGAAATGGTATGATTTCATCATAACGTCTTCTAGTGATATTATTATATTTGAATAGAAATGGTATGATTTCATCATAACGTCTTCTAGTGATATTATTATATTTGAATAGAAATGGTATGATTTCATCATAACGTCTTCTAGTGATATTATTATATTTGAATAGAAATGGTATGATTTCATCATAACGTCTTCTAGTGATATTATTATATTTGAATAGAAATGGTATGATTTCATCATAACGTCTTCTAGTGATATTATTATATTTGAATAGAAATGGTATGATTTCATCATAACGTCTTCTAGTGATATTATTATACTTGAATAGAAATGGTATGATTTCATCATTGAATAGAAATGGTATGATTTCATCATAACGTCTTCTAGTGATATTATTATATTTGAATAGAAATGGTATGATTTCATCATTGAATAGAAATGGTATGATTTCATCATAACGTCTTCTAGTGATATTATTATATTTGAATAGAAATGGTATGATTTCATCACAACGTCTTCTAGTGATATTATTATCATTTCAATAGAAATGGTATGATTTCATCATTGAAATAGAAATGGTATGATTTCATCATAACGTCTTCTAGTGTTATTATTATATTTGAATAGAAATGGTATGATTTCATCATAACGTCTTCTAGTGATATTATTATATTTGAATAGAAATGGTATGATTTCATCATAACGTCTTCTAGTGATATTATTATATTTGAATAGAAATGGTATGATTTCATCATAACGTCCTCTAGTGATATTATTATATTTGAATAGAAATGGTATGATTTCATCATAACGTCTTCTAGTGATATTATTATATTTGAATAGAAATGGTATGATTTCATCATTGAATAGAAATGGTATGATTTCATCATAACGTCTTCTAGTGAAATTATTATATTTGAATAGAAATGGTATGATTTCATCATAACGTCTTCTAGTGATATTATTATATTTGAATAGAAATGGTATGATTTCATCATAACGTCTTCTAGTGATATCATTATATTTGAATAGAAATGGTATGATTTCATCATAACGTCCTCTAGTGATATTATTATATTTGAATAGAAATGGTATGATTTCATCATAACGTCTTCTAGTGATATTATTATATTTGAATAGAAATGGTATGATTTCATCATAACGTCTTCTAGTGATATTATTATATTTGAATAGAAATGGTATGATTTCATCATAACGTCTTCTAGTGATATTATTATATTTGAATAGAAATGGTATGATTTCATCATAACGTCTTCTAGTGATATTATTATATTTGAATAGAAATGGTATGATTTCATCATTCTAGTGATATTATTATATTTGAATAGAAATGGTATGATTTCATCATAACGTCTTATAGTGATATTATTATATTTGAATAGAAATGGTATGATTTCATCATTCACGTCTTCTAGTGATATTATTATATTTGAATAGAAATGGTATGATTTCATCATAACGTCTTCTAGTGATATTATTATATTTGAATAGAAATGGTATGATTTCATCATAACGTCT